AACAAAACAAAACAGACTAAAATCATTCTGAGCGAAGAACAATAGTATTGCTGGATTTCGTATCATGACACTATAGAATCACCACTGGGTACCATAGTGTCTCTTTTTCTTCAAAGTAGTTGTTCATTTCATCATGCGTTATATAATCAGTTCTCATAAAGTGTTTATAAGTTCTACGCATGCATGAGTCTCTACATGTATATCTATCCTCTGTATTAGAGGGAAAGACAAAACAAATTCCTAGAAAAACATGAAATGGAAAATGTCATATAAAACCACAATACAAGGTGATCTACAGTGGTTACTATGATATCTCGTGTTATCTTCAATAGAATTGTCTATATCATCAGGTATAGTATACTTGAACATAGCAGTATAGAACAATATTAATAAAAACAAAACATTGGAGACAGTATGAAACTTCAAAAGCAGGTAATAAACTAGTGGGTATCCTAGTGAAGTTGTCATCTCTAGTTTAGTTGCCTGTACTCAGACTTGATATTACCAATCATAACAGATTTGAATAAAATCAGTCAATATAAAACAGCAATCTAACAAACCAGATTCAAATAAGATCAATCATATTAAGACAGTGTAAGTTATACAGGCCTTCATATTAAGTTAATCGGAAATTAAGGATGATTACTGTACCATATTCAGCTATTTTGGGGATAGCTGTCTGTGCCCTCAAATCAAGTAGACAAACTGGAACAGAATATAATCCATCTAAACAGAGCGGTGAGAGTAATGTGGATTTGAAATCCTGATACACTATTAACAATATCCTCTGCCTTCCTTTTTTAGACAATTCCTCCCCTTTCACTCACACAGGGTGCACTGCACATTTTGGGTCCCACCAACTCCCTCAGTTTTTAGTTTAGGGGGGCAACCTGCTGGTAACCTGCTACTTACCTAAGTGATTCCAAACCTTTTCACTCCTGGACTTGATCTCAAGTTGTATTCCTTTACCTATAAAAGCCTCAAGGTTTTCCTTCATTATAGCTGAGTAGTTCTGTGCTGCACATACTTTCATGGCTTTCCTACCTATTTGCAGCTGCCGGACAAGCTACCCCTATTTCTCTCTGGTTCCCTGTCATAGAACATTGCTTTCTCATATTTGATTTTCAGTCCATAAACCCTCTTTCAGGTTAATTATATTTCCTATACAGAGCATCTCGATGGGCCCTATCTCCTGATCTACTTTGCCTATGTTTCTTTTTGTTAGTGTGTCAAGGCTATCTATATTAGAGATTATAGCCCACCTTCTGTGCCTCATTTCTGCTATGCTATTTTCGTGCCATTGATTGTCTACTTTTCTCCTTCATTCAACTGTCTGCCTCATTCATTGAGGCCTCTCTGCCACTATTCCTGAAATCCTGGTATTTTTTTCTCTCTCTCTAGAATGTCCTTCAGTATTTTTTGTAGAGTTGGATTGGTGGACACAAACTCCCACAGTTCCTCTTTGTCTTGGAAGCATCTTGTTTCTCCATTAATTTCTAGAGACAGTTTTTCAGGGTACATCAGTCAGGGCTGGAGGTTATTTTCTTTCAGGGCTTGGAATACTTCACTCCAAGCCCTTTTTGATTTGATGGTTTGTGTCGAGAAGTCTGCCATGATTTTGATGGGTTTTCCTTTATAGGTGATCTGTTTCTTTTCTTTGATGGCTTTTAATGTTTGGTTCTTGTGATGAATTTCTGGGATCTTGATTATTACATGCCTGGGTGTAGCTCTGTTTTGGTTGCAGTTAGCTGGAGTTTTGTGTCTTATACATCTGAATAGCATTTCCTTTTCCTGTGCTTGGGAAGTTTTTCTTAATTATTTCTGTGAATAGCCTTTGTATTTCCTTTGTATTTACCCCTGCTGCTTCACTCACATTTTTTATTCTTAAGTTATAGATCCTCTTGTCATCTTCTAGCCTTTGTATTGTTACTGCCTGTTTCCTTGTTATTTTTAAGAGCTCTTTCCTTTCGTGATCAGACATTACAAACCTATCTTCAATTTTATTAATCTATCTCTAGTTTCTGTCAGGCAGTTTTTCCAGCTTTTGATGGAGTTTTTAATTTCCTGGTAATCTCTTTGAATCTGTTTCATGTGTTCTAGATTTTCTTTATATTCTTCATTGAACATTTCTCTCCTTTTTTGTGTGTTCCTCCATTCTTTTGTCTGTGTCTTCTTGAGAGGTGCTTAGCATTTCTTTTATTAATCTTCTTATATCTTGCTTTACTTGAATTAATATTTCAGTTTTGAGCTCATCAGTGATGTCACAAAGATATCTCTTTATGTCCACTGATGCCGTGTCTGATATTGCATGTTTGCTGCCCTTAATCTCTTTTGTATTTATCTCTCCTGGATCAATATTCACAGGGTTGGGGGCTGGGAGCTTTTTTTTATTTTTTTCTCTTGTCATGTTTTATGTTTCTTCCATACAGGTGTGTAGTGGAAGTCCCAGCCCCTCTCCTTGTTGGTTATGGTTCTTCTGAAGTGCACTGGCTAGGGATTTCTTCCCTCTTTATAGTTTGCTGTTGGTTATTGAGGTGCAAGCAGGGGTGGCATATGCTGGCCCCTCCCCTCCAAGCTAGTCAACCAGTGAGAGCCTTCACCAGTGTGAAGCATGTGCTGTGGATGGAATTGGTTTGGGACAACTTACTGGAGCCAGACAGGCACATGACTTAGGCCAAGCAAATCCCACCAATCTGTTCTGGGCAGGGAGCAACTGACTGAGGTCATTGCCATTCCTTGTTCATGCCCGTCCTGCCCGATTCCAACATGTCGTCCAGTTGGTTGCCTCTTTCCCGTGGGAGGGTCTTATTCCGAGCACTCATCGTGGGTTAGTGCAGGTCTCCAGGACAGCTCCTTTCCCCATTGGGCTCGCCAACCCGCAACTTCAGCTCTCCGGCAGTAAGCATACCACGACCCAACTGCAAATTTGGGTGACCTCGCAAGAGCGCTCATGGTAGCCCTGCAAGCCCTGTATGGTGCTTGTTTGACCAGCTCTTTTCCCTTTAGTTTCTTCCTGGGTCCAGAGGGTCCATCTCCCTCTCTCTGGTCCTCCAGGATGTTTTATTCTGGCATTTGAGTTGTTTCTTTCAGGGAGGCTCTGTATTTTGCTGCTTATTGATCTGCCATCTTTAGCTCCACTGAAGGTTGTTTTTTTTGAGACAGGCTCTCGCTGAGGCTATAATGAACTTTTTAAGCTAAGGGTGTAGCTTTGTGGTGGAGCATTTGCTTAGCATGTGTAAGGCTTTGGGTTTGATCCCCCAGTATGACCTACAAGTAAGGGAAAAGAACTGTATCTATCCTGGAAGAAACTTTGTGGGACTCAGAACACAAATGATTCGTATCTAACTTAATATTCTGAGGCTTAGCATAAATGTTTCTTACAAGAATTAATTACAGGGGCCAGGGATTTAGGTTAGTGGCATACTTGCCTGCCTGGCAAGCATGAGATTGTACCAAAAAAAACCCGAAAACAACAACAACCAAAACAAAACAATAATTAATTGCAGAAGTTGTCACAAACAGACCAGGAAGTGACTCATAATTGAACCATTCATCAAAGCTTAAGACAAGGTTTTAATGTCGAGTCAAAATCCATCCCAGAATTTAAAGTGCTGGGCAGGTTAAGCTCTGTGGACTGTATCTAAAAAACCTAGTTTTCATTTTGTTTTAAGGAAGCCAACTTTAGTGTTGGTTGGAGATGATCTCTAGTGAAGCATCTCATTGTTAAAGGTTTGCTGTTGCTAACATTATTTTTCTAAAACTAGTCATGTGATTTAGTTAACAACATTGACACTTGTTTTCTGGTGTATATTGTCTGGTCCTGCAAATGCAGGCTTTTCATCTTTGGGGGTTTGTGTGTGTTTTGTTTTTGTTTCGTTTGTACTGGGTGTCAAACTCATGACCTTATGCCTGCCAGGCAGGCCATTGTGCCACTGAGCTAAACCCCCACCCCAGTCCCCAAATGCAGTTTTTATCTTTAATTCCTGCATGATCTAAAGCAAATATTTATTTCTTATTCATGAGTATTTGTATCCTTTATGACACTGCAGACTATGCATGAGCTTTTTTTTTTTTTTTTTTTTTTTTTAAGCGTAGGATCTCAACATGTAGTTCAGACTGCCCTTGAAGTCACAGTGTAGCCCAGGTAGGCTTCAAATTTACAGTGATTCTTCTGGTTAGCCTCTCAAGGCCTGAGATTACAGGCATTGTACCATGCCCAGCTGGGACTTATTTTTTAATGTGGACAACTCAAAATTGCTACAGTGTCTCTTAGAGCTGACCTAAAAAGCTACACAACAATTCACAGCCTTTTGTTTTTATCAAAACTAAAGATATGTAATGTAATTATGTAGAGAATTTGTTGAAATACTTGAATAAGTACATGAAAAGCCTAAGAAAGTGTTTCCTTAACAAATAAATTGTCTAATGATTTATATATCTGGATATGATTCCTCAGAAAAGGATTTGTTCTGAGGCATAAATATGTACAATAATGAAGAATATCCAAAATGGTAATTCACATTTAATTTTTTCCCAGTTTTTAAAACTTTAAAAGTTTATTGCATTCCATGTACTTTTTATTGTTATATTTTAATTTTTATTAGTATATGTTTATAGCATATATTGACTGCATTCATCATGAGGATCTGATACATGTTCATACCACATAAATGTCTATCAAATACAAAACTTGAAGATTGTATAAGCAGCAAATAGTCAAAGTTAGAGGTCATCACATGATAATATTTTAATTGAGTATGTGTTCACTTTGGTTAAGATTCACACATTTGGCCAGGCATGGTGGTGCAACCCTGTCATCCAAGCATTCTTGGGAGGCTGAGGAAGGAGGATTTCTGTGAGTTTGAGGCAGCCTGGATTACCCGTGAATTTAAGGCCAGTCTGAACTACATAGTAAAACTATCTCCAAAAGACAAAAACAAACAAAAAACGATTCACATATTTTTTCTTTGGGTTACAGTTTTGTTCTTTTTTCTCCTAAGATCTCAGTGGATCCATAGCAGCCCCAGATGTCAAATTAAACCTTGGTGGAGATTTTATCAAAGAATCTACAGCTACTACATTTCTGAGACAAAGAGGATATGGCTGGCTTTTGGAAGTTGAAGATGATGATCCTGAAGATAACAAGCCACTTTTGTATGTAAAAATAATACATATTTTTGGTTTTAAGAGATAATCTGTGGGACGTTTATATTCTTTCTTGTAATTTAAAAACAAATGTGAAAAAAAATTTTTTTAATGTGAAAAATCTTTTCGTTGAAAGGCTATAGCAGTTTTCAATTTTACTAGTATTTGAAAAAAACTAAAACAGTGAAACTTTTTTTTACTTTGTTTTATGGCAAAAAGAAAAGGAATGGTAATCTCGCCGGGCATGGTGACATATTCCTGAAATCCCAGCCCTGTCAGGAGGCTGAGGCAGGAGAATCACTGAGAGTTCCCAGCCAGCCTGGGCTACAGTGTGAGTTCAAGGCCAGCCTGAACTGCATAGTGAAACCCTGTCTCCTGGACCTGAGGCTCAAGTAACTTTGTAGGCTTTTTTTTTTTTTTTTTTTTTTTGGTACCAAGGAATCAAGCTTTCAACCTTATTCTTGGCATGCTTGCTGAACTAAATCCCTTGCAATCACAGAACAGCTTTTGATTGCTTATTGTTGAAATTCAAATTTAAAACTAATTGAGATTTCTAAAAAGATTTCCAAAATCTATTACATAGAAAGTCCACAGCTGCCTTTAGTACTTAAACTATCGGAAGACTTCTTCTTTCTCCATAGTTTTAGAATCTTGTAATTTTCATCAGGGAGGGGGGGGGGGATGCAGGAGTAAATGAATAGTTTATATAGCTCAGCAGCATGAGCACCTACCTTGCAGAGTACTGTTGTGAGTTCAGTCCCCTATGGGGAAAAATAACAGATTGGTTTCCTTGTGTATTGTCATTGTCATTCAATGATAACAATTTTGGAAAGAAGAACCAGCCTATAGCTTTATAAAACTGAAGCATTCAAAACAAAACTGAAGCATTCCCAGGTTTTTCTTTCTAGTTAATTGTGGTGGTTAAAAACTGAAACATTTTTCTTACTGTTAATACACTATATTTCATCAAATCTAAGTATAGATTATAAGATGAAGTTATTATACATATTAATAAAAAAAAAAACTAGTCTTGGGATATAGCTCAGTGGCACAGCACCTGCCTGACACAAATGCAACGTCCTGAGTTTGGTTCCTAGCACAAAAATAGAATAAAAATACAAATAAAATACCCCAAAATAGTATAAAGCTGGGACATCAAGGAGCTCTCTTCTTAATAGAAGATGGATAAGAACTAACCTACCACATAGAAAAAGCAATGAAGTTTGCATGAGTTGGACGTAGGGTAGGTTGTTGAAAGAAGTTTTCCCTGAGAATATAAATGCCACACCAGTTCTGTAGGTTTAGTGTGAAATAGAAGTGTCCCAAATGTGTCGACAGACAGTTTAATTTACAGTTACGTTAAATTGATACTGCCTGGGCCACAGATATAGCTCAGTGACCCTGCACCTGCCTGGCAAGCGTGAGATGATGGGTTTGATCCCTGGTACAAAAAAAATTGATACTGCCTCCAGGAGACTGGCAAAAAGGAAACCAGCTCTTGGAAGCTTTCAGCCTCATTACAGGCTAACAACAATTGTAAGATATCAGCAACTGTGAGATGTATGCAGCTGTAAAGATACTGAAATAGTGAAGCATCTCATTCACTTGAGATAGTTCACCTTGGACAGTGGAATGAGGATACTTTAAATGCAGATATTTTGTTAACCTGTGCCTATCATGCTGTCATTATTTAAAATTAAAAACTTTCATGCCAGTCCTGGTGGTACCCACTTACAATCACAGCACTCAAGAGGCTGAAGTGGGAGGATCACCACAAGTTTAAGGCCAGCCGGGGCTACATAACAAGACTGTGTTTCAAAAAATAAACATGTACTTGGGGGGCTGAGGCAGGATCATTAAGAGTTCAAGCACAGCCTGGGCTACAAAATGAGCTCAAGGCCAGCCTGAACTACATAGCGAGACCTATCTCAAAAAGACAAAATACATACACACATACATACTTTTTTGAGGTTGGGGTAGGGGGTTGAGACAGGAACTTACAACGTATCCCACACTGACTTCAGACTCACTGCGTAGCCCAAACTGGCCTCAAACTCCTGAGCATCCTGCCTCAGCCTCCTGTGTGCTGGGATTATAGGGATGCACCACCCTGCCCAACTTAAACTTTTAAAAATTCTTTTGTAACTGTCATAATATTCAGAATTCTGCACTTTCTGAACTTCTTTTAATTGTAGGGAAGAATTGGATATCGATCTAAAGGATATTTACTACAAAATCCGATGTGTTTTGATGCCAATGCCTTCACTTGGTTTTAATAGACAAGTGGTGAGAGACAATCCTGACTTTTGGGGTCCTCTGGCAGTTGTCCTTTTCTTTTCTATGATATCGCTGTATGGACAATTTAGGGTAAGTATATCGTTTTTGTACTAATTCTAAATCTTTGAACTTTATATACTATAATTGTACACTTCTGTCTGAGAAGTGCTTTATCTTTGCCCATTTGTATTAGTCGCTTTTTGTTTCTTGGATAAAGTGTGCCATGCAAAAGAAAGGGTTTGTTTTGGTTGGCAGTGCTGGAGGTTTTAATCCATAGTCAGCTGGCGTATTGGTCACTTTCTCATCACTGGGACATAATGCCCAACACAGCTTAGAAGGGCTTGACTTCAGCTCATGGTTTCAGAGGTTTCAGTCCACTGTTGACTGGCATCCGGGCGGAAGTGGCCTGGTGGGAGGAGCTGGCAGAGGAAAGGTGATTAACCCGGACGCAGGTAGGGACAGAGACAGAGGCAGACACCCTCCCCCAGCCAGGCCCCACCTCCTGAAACCACACGGAGGATAGACCTTCAGGTGAGCATCTCACCCACACGATCCAGCCACCTTCTGAGAGCGCCACCTCTGAACCAGGAGACCTGAGCGGGACATTTCAAATCTAAATTATAACTCCATTATTTCTTACTTGTTTATTCCTAAAACTGTTCTTGAACTGTCCTAAAACTGTAGTTTAAAAAAAGGGTAGAGTTATGCACTTAAATAGCACTTTCCAAGATTTATCTTATCATCATTCATACAGAAAATACTGGTATTTGTAGCACAGTCTGAGTAGGGTAGAACAGCTCTCAACTGACTGGACTCAACCAGAGGCAAAAAGTTTGACCCTGCCTCTATGTTTCCCTAAAGGATAGAGTTTGAAGTGTAATACATAACTATGTTCTGCCTTTTATTTATTTTTAATTTTTTAAAATCTGCAGCTTTTGCTTGGTGTGGTGGTGCATACCTGTAATCCCAGTACTTGGGAGGCTGAGGCAGGAGCACCACTGCCTATTTTGAGACAGGGTCCCACGAGGCTCACTAAATTGCCCAGATCAAACTTGTGACCTTCCTTTCTCAGCCTCTAAGAATGCTAAATTACAGGCATGTCCCACTACATCCAGCTCTGGTATGTTTTTTATATTATTACTGTTATTTTAATAACTTTGCCCTACCCTTAAGGTCTTTACCATCCAAACACAACATACACGCGTCACTTTCTCCCCATTTAAGTCTTTAGGGAAATGTAACTCTTTAGTAACTTGGAAGTGAATTAATTTTTTTCTTTTTTTAGAAGCAAATTAATTAGAAGCAAAGCAATTTGCCACAGCTTGTTTCCTTTAAACAGCACACGTGTATTCTTTTATAATTCTGAAGACCAGCAGTCTACAGTGAGTCCTAAAGGGCTAAGATCAAAATGTCAGTGGGCGGTTCCTCTGGAAGTTCCAGAGAAGAATCTGTTGCTTGTCTCTTTAACTTCTAGGAGCTACCAGCATGTTTAGCTCCTGGGTGTGTCACTACAATCCATTTCCATGGTCACATTGCTTTTTCCTCTAATGTATTCAAATTTTCCTCTGACTTCTTTTAAGGACAGTTGTTACTACATTTAGGGTATACATGGATAAATCCATAGTAATCTCCACATTGCAAGGTCATTATTACACTAATGCTAGTAATGTTTCTTTTTTTTTTTTTTTTTTTTGTCTTTTTGGAACAGGGTCTCTATGCAGTTCAGGCTGGCCTTGAGCTCACTTTGTAGTCTAGGCTGGTCTCGAACTTGCAATGATCCTCCTGCCTCAGTCTTCCAAGTGCTGGGATTAAAGGCATGAGTCACCATACCCAGCTATTAATGTTTCTCCAAATCAATACTTTATATCATGTTTTCTGTTGAAATATTAATAAAGACCACTAAAGAAGTTGAATGGGAACTCAGGTCTCATATCTATCTCTTGTCCTTCATCTATAACATATGTAGTTTTATCTGTTTTGTATAATCTTTATTTGAACCAAGGATTCTAAGTAAAAAAACTGAAGGTTACTTTTGTCTTCATAAGATGTTGCTTAGAGCCAGGTGTGGTGGTACACACCTGTAATCCCAGGTGTAGTGAGGCTGAGAACATATCACTGCAAGTTCGAGACCATCCAGGCTCCATAGGGAGTTCAAGGTCAGCCTGAACTGCAGACTGAGACTCTGTCTTTAAAAAAAATTATTCTAACTGTGCTATACATTTTTGACAAGATTACTACAGGAAGGTCATTGTGCTCCTCTCTGTATACTAACAGAGAGCATGTGTTACTGTTCTTATAGTACTGGTGTTACTAACCTTGATCACTTGGTTAAGTAACAGGGCATTTCTGTCCATTTCCTCTACCAAAAAGTAACTATTTCTTTTTATAATTAATCTGGAGCTATTTTGCCATTACACAAATGTCCTATTTCTTATTCTTTTACCTAATAATTTTACTATCCATTGATGAGTCTCATATGCAGCAGTTTTAACTATAGTATTTATTAAATGATGATTTTCTTTTTCTTTCATTCCTTCAACATTTATTAATTGGTATTCTCTAAGGAACAGCTGTCCCTTTTTTACCATTACTTAGTTAGTTACTGTATTTGTGTCAGTATAGGCTCATGAATATTTTAGTTTCCATGCTATAATCTAGAATTAATTTTTTTTTTGAATTTTTTTGCTCACAGTGCCCCATCTTGAACCATTGGATACTCTTTTAGGTGGACCTATGAGTCCTTTTGACATATCCCATCATTTTTTTTTTTAAGCACATTCATGTCTTGTGACCCCACAAAGTATTCTAGGCTAATCTTGTATTTTCCCCACTCTAGCTTGTGAAGGGACCATTTCACCAAGGAATCTCAGTTCCTTTAATTGGGGCATATTTAGAAACCACTTTATTGCTAGTGAGGTGTTATTTCCAGACCCTCCCAAAAGGTAATTTTAAATCTGTGCAGATATCATTAAACTAAGTCTCAGGAGTTCTTTTAAAGACTTCTGGAGAGGACCGGCAAATTGTTTTGGATATGAATTTTCCATCAGGATACTATAAACCAGTGATGGTGGACCTTTTAGAGCCGTGATGGTAAACCTCTACTATGTGTGCTGGGACAGGCTGTTCGTTACCGTTGAAAGCTATAAAAGGTTCGCCATCGCTCTTTAGAGCCTTCAGTGATATAAACAGCTCACTGTGGCAGGTGTTCCATTAAGTTTGCCACCACTGATCAAAACCAAGGGGTTATCAGTAAATGCTTTTTTTTTTTATTTTTAATTTTTTTTTATTAACAATTAAGCCTTCAAATGCTAGGGCCAGGGTTATAGTTCTGTGACACAGCACCTGCCTGGCAAGCACACAAAGTCTAGAGTTCAATTCCCAGTACCAAAAAAGAAAGAAGTCAAGCACAGAGATGTTCTGTGGTTAGTATTTTAGTAATGTATTAAGTTTTGGAAAGATACATGAGAGCCATATATATAGCATCTCTATGTCCTGCACTCATGCACACCAAACTGTTTTAAGTGGTAGAAATTGAATTCCTGAAAAATTATCAGCTTGCTTTATTCAGTAATATTAATTATATGAATTTTGTTTCCATTAAAGGTGGTCTCCTGGATCATAACCATTTGGATATTTGGCTCACTAACAATTTTCTTACTGGCCAGAGTTCTTGGAGGAGAAGTAAGTAGTTAATTTTAGAAGTACTATTTGTTTTTTATGGTAAGCTTTATTTTTGGTAGTACAGATACCATCATTAAGTCTACTCATTATAGTGGTTTCCTGTCCATTAACTTAGACTAGTTAACTTTTGACTTAGACTACTTACTTTAAGATGATCAACATATTAGAATTATGTTTACTTTGAAAGGAAAAGATCCCATTCTACTTAACAAATAATACAGGTTTTCAGGGAAGCATAAAATTTATTTTTTATGGTAGTTCTCAAGTTTGTTCTCAGGTCCCATAAGGATTTCTTCATATGCGTTGTATCTGTCGATATTTACTTTAAAACAACCAAACTTTTCTAAAACAAAAAGTTAGAACGATATTACTTAAAATTTTTTTTTTTTTTTTTTTTTTTTTGGTCTTTTTCGTTTTTATCGGTACCAAGGATCGAACTCACGACTGCCTGCTTGGAAAGCAGGCGCTTATGCCGCTGAGCTAAATCCCCAGCCCTATTACTTAAAATTTTGTAAATAGCTTTAATGCAAACTAGATGGATTTAATTTGTTATATTGTTTAGGTGTAAGTATATTAATAAAGCAAAGCCCCATATAGGTAAATAGTTGGAAAAGAGACTTTGTGTTGTTGTCATGCTTTGCTCTTTCTTTTTTGAGGGGAGTGTGTACCTGGAATGGTTCTCAGGACCGCTGAGCTATATCCCGGGCTTCCTCTTTCTTTTTTGCTGCTGGTAGTGAGGTTTGAACTTGGGAAGCACTGAGGTATAGCCTCATCCCAATTTATTTCGTATTTTAAGACAGGCTCTCACTGAGTTGCCCCAGACTAGTCTTCAGTTTATAATAGCTTGAACTTGTAGTAGCTAGGATTACAGGGATATGGATACAGGGAGTACTTTAATATCTTTTCAGAGGCGGTACTCCTCTCTGATGCTATACCAGTATTCAGCAACTAGTAGTTTTCTTTTTTATTATTGATACATGTTTTTTATCCAGTGGAATCTACTCTGGAAGTATAAGCTTGAGATATTTTTAGCTAAATGGATGCACTTGAGACCCAAACCCTTAAGTGAAATAAATTGAATATACATGTGTAAATACTGCATTTTTCTTAAATGTGAAAAACTGAAAGTGTAAATAAGGACCAAAATATATAATAGATATTGTGAAATAGGAAGAAAATGTTCAAATGGGAACAGGAACAGGGGAGCGGGGAGGGGGAGAAGGAAGGAAGGAAGGAAAAAATGAGAAAAGGACAAAATGGAAACAAAGCTTTTATAAAGAAGAAAGGGAAGAAAGGGTGAAGGGAAGGTAGAGGAAGGAGAAAAAGAACCAAGTTTTATCGTGTACGGTACAGATTCCCTACGATGAATATGATTATTATGTATGCCTAAAATATACCAATAACTATGCCAGGCTTGGTGGAGCACACTTGTAATCCTAGCACTCAAGAAACTAAGGCAGCAGGATCACTGTGAGTTTGAGGCCAGCCTGGGCTACATAAGTCAGTTCAAAGCCAGCCCACACTACATAGTGAGACCCTGTCTAATAAATAAATAAATAGTAAGGAAGTACCTGTTTGAGGTACATAATCAGTGTATTCGTTGTAGGTAGTTAGTATATGTACATGACACATCTGAATTCTTTTTGTATCACCTTTCTTTTTCCCACTCCTAACATCCTCTTCACATTTGTGAAAGATTATCTCCCTGTCCTTCTGTGTATCTTTTATTTTGCTACTTATACTTTGGTTTTTCATATATAAGAAATATAATTTTTAAGCATATGTTTCAGATTCATTTCTCTTGACATTATGGGTTCAAGGTGCATCCATTTTTCTACAAATGACTTAATCATTCATAGGAGTGTGGTACCCCAGGGTGTATAAATAACCACATTTCCTCTATCCTTTAATTTGTTGATGAGTATATGGGCTTCTTCCAGTAGTTTCTTAAAAATTGAAGTGAGGAATCTCAAAACATGTCAATGAATTTTTACACTGTTTAATTAAATTTGCTTTAAGTGGATCTTTTTTATCCAAGCATGATTTTGTAATATCATGCATCGTTGTTCTAGAAAATACTAGCAGTTCACTGAAGCTTTGGTACTGGGGATCCAACTCACAACCTTTACTTGCCAAGGAGATGCTTGTGCCGTTGAGCTAAAATCCCTGGCCCAGTTTACTGGGTTTGCACATATTTTAAATGTTGACTTTTTTTTTCTTTTAGACAGTGTCTTACTACTGCTATATAGTTCAGTTTGGCCTTGAACTCACTGTGTAACCTGGGCTGGCCTCAAACTTATGGTGATCCTCATGCCTCAGCCTCCCCAGAGCAGGGATGCCACGCATGTACCTCCATGCCTGACTAAATGTTATTTTATTATGTAATATCAAAAAGTCACATTTACTAATATCACCACCCATGTCATCAGAAAAGACTATATTGGAAAACTTACGTAAGTGAACACAAATTTTTGTTGGAAATGTAAAATTTATCATTTGCAACCAATAGTGTGAGTTGTTTCTATGATATAACAGACTCATTTCATTTCAAGAACACGCTTGCCCTGCGCAAGTCTGAATAATCATAATTTATCAGTTGTCTTGGCAAGCAAAAATGATGATCCATAGAAAATCCATCTAACTCAGCTCCACGCAGTCACAGATTTTATTGCTTTGGATAGCTACTCAATCACCATTCAGCAGAATATTAAGAAGACATATACTGAGAAGATTCAATTTTTACTTATTTATTTATTGGTAGTGGAGATTGAACTCACAACCTCACATTTGCCAGGTAGGCACTAGGCCATTGGGAATTTAACTCAGGCTCTCTCACGTGCTGAACAAGTACACTACCACTGAGCTGTACCCCCGCCCCCACCATTTTGTCCATGAGACAGGGTCTCCTAAGCTGTTTGGTTTGGCCTTGAACTTTGGATCCTCCTGCCACACCGTCCCAGAGTGCTAGTGTAGCCGGTGTGCCTTCCTTGCCTAGCTCCTCCCTCTTTTTTTTTTTTTTGTCTTTTTCATTTTTATCAGTACCAGGGATCGAACTCACGACTGCCTGCTTGCAAGGCTTATGCTGCTGAGATAAATCCCCAGCCCCTCTTTTTTTTTTTTTTTTTTTTTGGTACTGGGGATCAAACTCATGACCTTGTGCTTGCCAGGCAGGCACTTAAGCCACTGAGCTAAATCCCCAGCCCCAGCTCCTCCCTCTTTAGTTTTATTTTAAGATGGTGTCCTCCAATTTGCAGTCCTCCTAGCTCAGCCTCTTAACTAGTTGGGATTATAGGCATGCAACAACATGCCCACATCCATTTTTACTACATTCATACATAAAAACTGGCTGTTTTTGTTTTTCTGTAATAACATAGAGACTACTAATAAAGTTTGTAGCACCTTGATTTGTGCTGAGGCAACACCAAATTTACTCACTATTGTTTGTGTCCTCTTAGTGCCAATATCAACCCAATGAAAGAGGCAAATAGTGTTATTGTGTTTGAGACAGGGTTTCACTATACCGTTCACAGTGAATTTGCTATGTAACCCAGACTGGCCTTGAACTCACAGTGATCCTTCTGCCTCAGCCTCCCAAGTGCTGGGATTATAGGCATGCACCACCATCCCTAGCGATAATATTTTGTTAGTATTATTAAAAAAAATAGTTTTGGGCTGAGGGTTTAGCTCAGTGGCACAAGTGCCTTCCTGGCAAGTGCGAGGTCGTGAGTTTGATCCCTGGTACTGAGAAAAAAGTAAGTTTTAACTTCACCGTCTTCTGAGAAAGTCTCTAGGATTCCCAGGGCTCCACAGGGCACATTGAAAACCACTGCTGTATTCAATATGTGACTTCATGAATTACTGTAAACCTAGAAATTCTACCAATTTATTTTGTAGAGAGAGTGAAACAAGTTGCTAGAGAGTTACATGTGTCTTGGTTTTCGTATCAGGCTGAATTTATGAATATCGAATCTTAAATGCTGAAGAAAATATTGAGCCCTCCTTAGGCTTGGTGAAAAGATCTGTCAAGTTCATTACTTGACTCTAATTCTTTTTAGCTTCCAAAATAATGTTACTTTTTATCTCGTCTCCTGTTCTTCTATTTATGCCTCATGAAAAGGGATCTACTTTTCTCCTTCCCTTTTATTGGAGTTTCAAAAGAGAATTAGCATATATATAATCATACATTATTATGTAATCAATCAATGTATATATTCAGTTCAACATATGAACCCCAGACTAAAATAAACTTAAAGTGGTATCTGTGAAACTTTCATTTTACATATAGAAACACTGAATAATTCTAACACAAAATTATATTTGTTTATATTTTATTTTTATATCTTAGACACACCTAGTGTACTTATATGAAAATAGATTTTACTAAATTTATTACTGTAATTTAAAACTTGGATTATAGGAGTGAGAGTCCATTTGAACTTTCCTGAGTAAAACACTTGGTCTCACTAAGAATCAGTCTAATGGGCACTTCAAACGTTGTAACTGCGGTTGATCTTCACACCATTGAAGCCCAAAACTTGGAGCAGAGAAGCCAATAAAAAATATTTGTCCCTTTATCTCTTCTGGATACCCTTTCTTCCCTTTGGACTGAATTTGTTTCATCTAGCTTCTTTGGACGTTAGATTTTTTTGTTTTTTAATCTGAATGGAATAATTCTGTTCCTTTTAAATAATTTTCCTACAATTTAGGGAAAATAGTGAAAAAGTATAGTATAGTATAATATAGTATAGTATAGTATAGTGTTAAAGGTAATTAGATACACAGTTCTGAAGTTCAAGAGCAATAGGCCTGGAAACTTAGAGTTGGGTGTCATCAGCACATTGACCCTAATTGCACCCATAATGGTTGGTGGAAGGGCCTGGGAACAGAGCAGACCACTGTAATAAGATAATTTGTAATATGGTGGAATTTGATATTATATGATTCCTTCTTTATTCTCACACTTATGTAAGGACAACAGAATATGTGACATTTAATGGTGAATAAAATGAGTTTCTTGATTTCTATATTTATTTAAAATTTTGAAAATTCACAGGTTTCGTATGGCCAAGTTCTTGGAGTTATAGGCTATTCATTACTGCCTCTCATCGTAATAGCCCCTATACTTCTGGTGGTTGGATCATTTGAAGTGGTGTCTACACTTATAAAAGTAAGTTATGTGATAGATTTTATGTAAAGTAGTTTACTATTTTCCAGTAGCAGAAAGTGTACTAGGCTTCTGGCTAAGCATATGGTAGTATAAAACTGCTCATCAGGCAGTCACTAGTATGTTGGAACAAAGACCTTCCTTACTAAGTTTACCAACTCAAAATATTTTTTCCTTTAATCACCAGAAATTACAAAATATTTCTGGAAGGAAAAACAAAAGCAAATTGAACTTCAGGAAATAGTCAGAATTTTGCAATGCTGAATTTTTCTCATTGGTATTTGTAATATGAGTTCATCTAACTTAGATTTTGAAGGGGATATTTAAAATTTCAGTGTACGTTTATTTAATAACTTAATTTTATTTGAATATTAGCTTTTATCAATATGATAGATGTGATTCTAATAAATTTGATTTTCTGTAATACAGATACTAAGTTAAACTTAACATATTTTAAACATTTACTGATGATAAATATTAATATATTAGTATCAATTTCTATGTTTATTAGTATTGAAAATAAAGGCTCTAGTATTGTATATATATTTACTACAGCAAATAAAGCTTTTTCTTTATGGGAATAAAACTTGTTAAGACTGCCATTTTCGGGTTTTCTTTGTTTTTCTTTTTGTGTTTTGTGACAGGGACCCACTATGTAGTTCAGGCCCACTTTGTGTTTACTATATAGTGCAGGCTGACCTCAAACTCATGGCAAGCACCACCAGGCCCAGCCAAGACTGCTATTTATAAAGTTTATTTTTGGAGGATTTGTTGTTGTTCTTTTTGACACAGGGTGTTGTTATATAGTTCAGCCTGACCTTGAACTGGGGCAAATCCTCCTGCCTCAGCCTTTTGAGGGCTGGGACTAGGGGCATATACCATCATACTTGATTTAGAACTGTATTATGTAATGCCTACACTAAAGTGTTTTTAAGTAATTAGAGCCACCTAATGTTGATGAGAGTTGGTTTTATTTCAAGTTTATTAGCAAATTCCAATGTGAAAGAAATAATAATTCATTTTATAATTAGGCAACCATAGGCTGTGTTATATAGGCATTGGATTTTTAAAAAGTGTGGATTTCAGAACCAGTCCATTTTGAATTCAAACTCTCGTTTGGCCCCTTTTTGTCAGCTGGCCTTTTGAGGGTATTTTAATTTTTCTTATCCTGAATTTATTCTTGACCATAGGAATCTTAAGTTGTTTTTTAAAAGTTTGTTACAAAGATTTTAGGTGTTTGATAGACACTCAGGTGATAGCAGCTGTTATTACAAACATAAAAGATTATTCTGAGGTCGGGCTGGGAATTTAGCTCTGCCGCATAAGTACCTGCCTTGTAAGCAGGCGGTCGTGAGTTCCATCCTTGGTACCAATAAAAATGGAAAAGACAGAAAAACAAAAAAACAAAAAAAGATTATTCTGAGGTCATCTTTGTATGTTTGAAATGTTTGAACAGTTGAGAGGCCAAAAAAATGTTGCTTTTGGCGGGAGGGGCCCTGGTGATTGAACTCAGAGCCTTGTGCATGCAAGGCAGGCACTCTACCAGTGAGCCACATCCCCAGCCGAAAAATGTTTCTTTTGACCCAAAAAAAGTTTTTTTTGTGGTCCTAAGGGATTGAACGTGGGGCCTAGCACATTGTAGGCAAGTGATTTACTACTGTCTCCCCAGTCCAAATGTTTTCATGTTAGATTTTAAAAACGTGGTTTTCAAGCCTTACAGAACAGCAGCAGCTAGTTTCATGCTGCTGTTTGATTATTCTACCCTTAGTAGATACGCCACATGATTCATTTAGAATCAGTCTGCTGTGTGGTTTTACCTGGACTAAACCTGCTTGAATATTTCTGAAAATATTCCTAAAATTCTAAAAATGTTATCCTCTGGTCATTTTTAGTCAGTAGGCTCAAATGAAAGTCAGTTCTTAAGCTTTATATAGCATGTTAATATCATAATAATATAGAAAATATTTTCTATCCAAAAAATTTAGAATAAAATTGGATTTTTAAAAATTATCTTTTTTTCTTTTCGGTGCTAGGAATTGAACTCATGACCTTGCACTTACCAGGCAAGCATTTGAGCCGCTACGCTAAATCCTTGGCCCTAAATATTACTTTTAGAGCCAGGCATGATGGCATACATCTGTGATCCCAGTATTCAGGAAGCGGAGATAGGAGGATCACAGTGAGTTTGGTGCCATCCTGGGCTACATAGTAATTTTCAAGGTCAGCCTGAGCTACAAAGCAAGACCTACAAACCAAAACAAAAGATGATTGTTTAATCTTCACTGCATAATAAGTTATTATATATGCTTCTAATTTTAGCCCAAGATTTGTTGAGAAATATGTTCCAAAATGCTTGTCAGTTAACTCTGGCATTACTGAGTTACAACCATTTATAGTAACAACAAAAAACCTGATAAATTTCCTTGTACTTTGCTATATGCCTCAATTATTTTTTCCTGCTTTTCTTTTTTTTACCATACTACCCAGAGAGCAATGACTTATATCCCTAGCCCTATTTATTTATTTGTTTATAGTTAGGGTTCCGTTGTTTGGTTTGGTTTGGTTTGTTTTTTTTGGTACCTGGGATCAAACTCACCTCACTCTTGCTAGGCAGGTGCTTATGCTTCTGAGCTAAATCTCCAGCCCCTTGTTTTGTTTTATGGTTATGAGTTTTGTTTTTTGTTTTAATACAGTAATGGAGATTAGGCTGGGCATGGTGGCCACGCCTGTAATGCCAGCACTCAAGAGGCTGAGGCAGGAGGATCGTTGCAAGTTCGAGACTAGGCTACAGAGTGAGCTCAAGGCCAGCCTGAACTGCATAGCAAGACCCTGTCTCAAAAAGATAAAAAAAATAAAATAATAATAATGGAGATTAAAACCAAGCCATTGTCTGTGCTGGGATGTAGCTATGCCATCGAGCTACATCCCAACCTTTTGATTTTAGTTTGTGATAAGGTCTCACTTAAATTGTCCAGGCCATCTTCAAAGTTGGGATCTTGGCTTAGTCTCTGCAGCACTTGAGATTAAAAATGTGTGTCACCAAACGTGTCTGCCACTGCGGTCTCTTCCCGTTCCCTCTCCCCCTTCTCCCCTCCTCTTCCTCCTTTTCTCCTTGTCTTCTTTCTTTTACCCCTTTGGTCATATTGGGGATTGAACTCAGGGCCTTCTCCCTAAGCTGTATGCCCACCCTTTTTTATTTTGAGATAGGGTCTCACTAAGTTAGTAAGTGCACCTGGCCGGGTCTGAGCTTGCAGTCTTCCTGTTTCAGCCTCTCAGAAAGCTGGGATGCAGATGTGTACCACCCTGCATGACCTCTTTTTTTTTTTTTTTTTAAGTTTAAAAAGCGTAGTAGAAAGTCAGACCATCCCAAATATATTTTCATCCAGTACACAATATCGTTGTCTTTGTTTTTAAATCCTGCATCAGGGGCTGGGTGTTTAGCTCAGCAGCATAAGCGCCTCCCTTGCAAGTGCACGGTCGTGAATTCAATCCCCAGTACCGATAAAAAAGAAAAAAATAAATAAATCTTGCTAGTAGTCCTCAGCTGAAACCAGTTTGCTCCCCGGGCGGCACCTTACAAGGTCTAAGGTTTTGTTTTGTTCTGTTTTGTAACAGGGATGGAGCTCACAACCTCTCTTGCCAGGCAGGTGCTTCTGCTACTGAGCTTATATCTGTCCCTGTCTGAGGAACTTTTTGTGTTACTGATGGGGAGGACAATGTTACTAGCATGGGGGGGGCTGGAGGTCAGGTATGCTGTTAAGCACCCAACAGTACGTTGGACAGCCCCCATAACAAAGAATTACCTCCCTGAAATGTCAGTCATGAAGGCTGAGAAGCTATGCTCTGCCTAGCTTGTCACTGTTCTTATAATTTCTTCCCTTGCAATTCTTCTTTTATTTATGCTATAAAATTTCTTTGATGACTAATTAATAGATACTTCAGTAGAAATACTCTAGGATGTTATATAATCAATCAAGAGAACCATGCTGTTTTATTTAATGAAACTGTTGACCAAAGTGTAACCTTTTTTCCTCTTTTTTATTTAATCTGTACTTTTTTGTGTGTTTGGTTTGGTTTTTTGAGACAAGGTGTCACTATGCAGTTCAGGCTGGCCTTGAACTCACTTTGTAGCCCAGCCTGATCTGAATTTGCAAGGATCCTTCTGCCTCTGCCTCCCAAATGCATGCTGGTGTTATAGACGTGGGACACCATACCTGGTTTAATGCTTACTTCTGCCTGTTCCTGGGGAGAAAACTGTGATACTTACATAAATGTTGTATAAAATTTCACCAAAAAATTGTGTTTCACTTAATTGTTGTTTTTTTTTCTTCTTCTGTTTTTTTCTTTTTTATTGTTACCAGAATTGAACTCAGGACTTCATACTTGCCAGGCAGGCACTGTGCTCTATCTCCAACCCCTTCTCACTTCTTAAATGGAGATGTTTTTACTTTTCAGGGATGTATTTTGTCTCGGCATTTGGTCTAGTCAGTTACATTTTTTACTTTCTTTCAAGAAACTCTCCTGGTCGTAGAGCCAGGTATGACAGCACACACCTGTAATCCCCGGTCCTTAGGATGCTGAGGCAGGATCACCAAGTTCAAGGCTAAAAATGCCAGGTTAGCCGAGACCCTTGTCTCAGACTTGTTTTGTTTTTTTGAGGCAGGGAAAAAAACTTTTGAGACTAAGTATTTAACCGTGTAGTTTAGAGTGGTCGTGAACTCACTAGTATGCAGTCCAGGCTGGTCTTAAACCCAGAGCAAACTTCCTGCTTTAGCCTCTCAAATACTGGGATTACAGGTGTACATCACCATGTGCAGGAAACAGATTTTTCAGTTACAAAAAGGGATGGGGACCAGGGATAAAACTCAGTAGTATAAGAGCCTACCTGGCCAGCTCAAGGTCCTCAGTTCGATTCCTGGTACCAAAAAAAAAAAAAAGGGGGTGGTGAAGAGAGAGGATAGGGATGCAGTTTATCATTCCCTGGGTTCAGCCTCTGTGTGGAGGCTAGGGATTTACCTTCCAAAGTCACCAGGGACACTTGTTGACAAGGCTGATAACTAGAACCTTATTTTAGGAATTAAACTCAGCAGAACTAAAGCAAATACCGCAAGTTTCTTTTAATAGGTTTCTTTTAATAGGTATTTAATAGATTTTTTATGATTAGACAGACATTTTGATTTCTCCTTTTCTGTTTTTTGGTCTTTATTTATTTATTTATTTTTTATTTTTGAGAGAAGGTCTCACTATGTAGTTCAAACTGGCCTTGAACTCACTGTGTAGTCCAGGCTGGCCTCAAGTTTGCAGTGATCCTCCTGCCTCAGGCTCCTAAGTGCTAGAAATATAGGTCTATGCAACCACACCTTGCAGATTTGATTTTATGAAGACCACATCCACAGAAGCTAAGAAGCAGAGTAAAGATGAACATATTTTTAACATTTTTAATAAGTTTTATTATTTACCACAGGTGGTGATTAATTTTTTGATTTCTTTTTAAAAAATAGCATAAACATGATTTTTACTCTATGATATCCAAAAAGTTGATTTGCTAATATGCTACCTTTTCTCTCTTTTTTTCCTTCCTTAAGCTGTTCGGTGTGTTTTGGGCTGCCTACAGTGCTGCTTCATTGTTAGTGGGTGAAGAATTCAAGACCAAAAAGCCTCTCCTGATTTATCCAATCTTTTTATTATACATCTATTTTTTGTCCTTATATACTGGGGTGTGATCCGAATCATACATACGTAGAAAAAGACAATGTTACCTTTGTGGGCTGGGAACTCCTGCTGACGAGATTGGAAAAACCTTGGTAAAATTTTACATGTTTCAGATGTAAATAAAGGTAGGTCGAAGGTCTTTTTTAAACAATATTTTTTGTATTTAATTAAGCAGTTGCAATTATCTGGGATTTTTTAGTCAGGATTCTAAATTCTGTTTATTTCTTCATATTCCAGTGAATAAAATATAAAAGCATTGTGTTTTTAAGATTGTGTCAATGTTCACAGGCTTTATGTGTCACAGGCTGTGCCAAAAGCACCTGGATTGGTAACTATATTTCACTTGAAGGGTAAATTTGACAACATCCTGATAATCTAAAAGTGCAATTTTTTTCTTTAAAGAATTTACTCCTGCATTGCAGATCCTGTAGATACATATTTATATTTATACATATATATTTATGAAATAATTCTTATTATTCACAATATATATTTCTGAATAACCTAAAATTTAAGATATTAAATCTGATGCTTAAACTTCCTTTAATTTGGCCATTAACCTTTTTATTTTAAAAATTCATTTTTTAAATTGTGTTTTTTAAATTAGAGTTGCTGATGTAGATTTGGTTTGTATGGGTGTGCTTTTGAAAACCTGTTTTGAATGTCTAAATGTCTGATTTAAACTTTGAGTTTTATCTTTTTGACTAAAGGACCAAAAGATATAAAGGATATGGCATTCATTAAAATCATTAATATGGAGAAAGACAATAATATTTATAGCACTAGTAAATATTTTTTAAGTGATACTTACAAATTAGCAGTTATGGGAAAAAAGACAAAACCTTGTGGTCCTGAGCAATGTTATATGAAGTAGAAAACAATAAAATGTTTTCCAGCTGTGTGTTTTGTTGTATGATACCTTGTCCTGTGTTACTTGATACTTTAATAAGTATCAGGCACTCACTAACAAATGTACAATTTTTGCTAAGAAAATTACTAAATTTTTATTGGTGAAATTTTTTGTAAATGATTCCTAGATTCTATGTATGCTTTTAATTAATATAACTTTGGACAGTGGATAAAATATTTTTGTGCTGGAGTGTAGTTCAGTGAGAGAGCATTTGCCTAGCATGGTCAAGGCTCTGGGTTCAGTACCCACACTGAAAAAAAATGTGTTATCCTTTCTTCTCTCACCTGAAAGGGTTACTGCTTTTCTCGATATGGTAACATGGTCATCTCTTGCTGTGTGTGCCTTTATCAAACTTACCCATCAAGCCTGGATCTTCAGCTTTCCCACACATCCCAACTGTAGAAAGAAAAGCTTACTGTATGTATGTTTTTGCCATCTGAGGATCGAAGCCAGAACCACACACTAGCAGGGCAGCCACTCCACTGCGCTATACACTCCAGCCTCCAAAACGCGTAGTTTAAACTACAGGAAAAATGCGAAGCACTTTTGTGCTAGGATACAGAAAATTATGTATGCTAATTTTTTAAAACAGATATCCAGTAAACAGAACCACCCATGATATAAAGTTTCTGAAACTTAATATGATATAGTAGCGAAGGATTTATGACTACAGAAGCAGCAGCTGTAAGATACACATTTGTCACCCTTAAAAATTCCTCAGGTCAATGCTTTGTTACAGTGGATTACTTGGTATTCATAATATTGACTGGAATGTTCCTCATAAAGTTTAGAAGTCAGGACCAGGTAATGGAATTTTACTCAGTGACAAATCAAGGCATTTTCTGACTACCTCTATCAAAAGCGGTTTAAATTTTTTAACTAGCGTTGCTTGCAGATATGTGTAAAATATTCACATATATGGATCACATTTATTCCTAGTGGTATATAACAATGATATAAGTCTTTTACGGTTTTCATTGATACAAACAGCCTGCTGCAGCACAGGTACCATACAGTTGCCAGCACTGATATAGGATAAAACAAAGTGGTTTTGGTTTTGGTACGGGGATCAAACTCACGATCTTGCGCTTACCAGGCAAGTGCTTGAGCCACTGAGCTAAATCCTTGCCCTAAAATGAAGTATTTCTTTTAAAGAAGGTATTTTAAAATAATAGCACTTAATCCTGAGACCTGTTTTGTTAAGTGTATATATAAGTAGAATATATAATGTTTCAAGGTCAATGAATGTCATTTTCATGAGCTAAAATGTAAAGCAGTTAAAGCAGGTTATCAGCTTAAACATGTGATTGTAGCTGGAGATTTAGCTCAGTAGCACAAGGGTCTGCTTGGCAAGTGCGAGGTCATGAATTCAATCCTCGGAATAAAACGAAAAGCAACAACAAAAAAGTGTAAAAATGTGATTGTAGATGTGTGCAAGATTCTGTCGTCCTACACTGCATTCGTAAGGCTTCCCGTTGCTGGGTCCAAACTACCTAGCACTGCAATCTAGGGGAGGTTTAATTTGGCTTAGGGTTTCAGAGGTTTCAGTCCATGGTTGACTGGCTTCAAGACAGAAATATCACAGCAGGAGGATGTGCTGGAATACAGCTGCTCTCTTCCTGCTGTCAGAGAAGCAGAGCAGGAAACAACACTAGAGCCGAAAGGCTGAGGGACCAGATACAGTACATGAATTCACACCCACCTACCCTACCCAGACACACCCAGGAGAGTACTTCAGTATCCCACAGACAGCTCCCAAGCCAGTCAACTTGGTAAAGGTCATATATGTCATATAATGGTAAATGAACCATAGAAAAGTACTGTCCTCAGATTTTTATGTAGTATTTCCAAGCCCTACGGATTTTAAATCATGGCCTTTAGGCTAACAGTGTTTTGTAGACAGAATTAGCCAGTTATCTGTATATCCTTTGCCTCTTTTCCGTATGTATATGTGTATGTGTGTGTATGTGCCTGATGAATGCTCCAAAAGAGAATTATGAGACATGTTTACTTCTGTGCTGGATTTATTGTAAAATAAGTGAAATTTTGATTAAAAATCAAAGTCTATAAATCAAACTTTGTGTGAAAAGTACTTTAGGAAGATCTGTGAAGTTTTATGAACCATGATAAATTGTGCTTATTTCTAAGGCCTGTAAGACAGTTTTATATATAATGTATCCATTTCCAAAAACTTAACTTCAAATTAATATTTTAAGCTAAGAGCTTAAAATTAGTGAACATTTGCATTGATTAAAATACAAAGTACATATTTTTGTTTAAAAATTGTTTAAATTTTAATCACTTATTTTCAATTTTTGATGTAATGAAACGGAATAAAATAATGATTCTACAACCTAATAAAAACCAAATTTTTTCATATTCAACCAAACTAGTTGAACAGTATTAAATGACCATTATTGTTATGCTTTTGCTAGTGCACATTTTAGTAGTTGTGGGCCTCAGGCACGTGCAACTTTTCTTTTTAATATCTTGGGTCTATACAGTTCTTTGTGACTGTGTCACATCTATCTGAAGCAAGTCTTAGTGGAGCTAAAAATGCCCCTCAGCAACTTTTGCACTGCAGTTTATAGTTACATAATTTTCTAGCAACATTTTGTGTGTTTTAAGGCTCTGTTGACACTTTCTTAAATAAATTCCTACATAGGATTTCTCCTATAATAAAGGTATAAATTGTTGTTTTGTTTTGTTAGGGTCTCACTGTGTAATGCAGACTGACTGAAATACTTTTACATTCTGTATTGCTGGTAACCCTACTTTTAACATTTCTGTTTTCAGTAATTACAAGTTTTTATTTTAAACATACTTATTTTATAGTTTGTAAGTACCTGAAAAAATTTCTAAATGTTCCTCCCAAATAGTTTAATGGTATACTAATGCCCTCAGATTACTTTGTTAGTCATTTGAAAAAATATGAAATATTTTGAATTTAACTTTACTTGGTTAATAAATACTTAGGAAAATGAAAGTACACATTCGGCCTGTAATAACTTTGCAATTATTTTATTCCTAAGTATGATACTTAGGAAAATGAAAGTACACATTCTACCTGTAATAATTTTGCAAAATTAATACTTGAGTATGTTAAGTTTATCAAGAACAAAAATGGCCTTTCTATAATAGTTGCCACTGACCAATTTTCTGTAATAAAACAAGCCCCCCAAAAAGTTTACCAAAGTATTTGTACAAGAACTGAAAGTATTCAGAATGTTTGACTATTGAAAGAAATTATTATGTGGTAAAAGATAAAATGAGAAGGGGCTGGGGATTTAGCTCAGTGGCATAAGCGCCTGCCTTGTAAGCAGGCAGTCGTGAGTTCGATCCCTGGTACCGATAAAAATGAAAAAGACAAAAAAAAAAAAAAAGATAAAATGAGAGCCAGGGATATAGCTCAGTGGCATCAGTCCCTGCCTGGCAAGCACAAGGTCCTGAGTTTGATTCCTGGTACCAAAAAACAACAAAAAAGGTAAAATGGGGGCTGGGGATTTAGCTCAGCGGCATGAGCGCCTGCCTTGCAAGCAGGCAGTCGTGAGTTCGATCCCCGGTACCGATAAAAAGGAAAAAGACCAAAAAAAAAGGTAAAATGATGATAAAGCCAGGCGTGGTAGTGCACACCTGTAATCTCAGCACTTTGGAGGCTGAGGCATGAAAATCACCATTAGTTCAAGGCTAGCCACAACTACATAGTGAGACCCTGTCTCAAACACAAAATTGCTATTTTTTACATAATAACTACTTGATGGATAAATTATTTGTACATTTTTCTTCTGTTTCATAATGATCCTGCTTGCTTTTGTGGAATTAACCTATTATCTATGCAAAGTACCTCTTAAAGTAGCATCATTTGATGAGGTTACCCATATATTTTGTCCTTATGCAGAATTATCTTTGGTCATTATAATCTCTGCATGGAAAGCAGAGAAAGTCTTCTGATTCCTTACTGTATTCGGGGTGTTCAGATAAAATGCAGAAAGCCAACCATATTGTTGCACACCTGTAATTTTAGCTTTCTGGGAGGCTGAGGCAGAAGGATCACAAGTCTGGGCCCAGCCTGGGCAGCTCAGCAACATAACAAGACCCTCTCTTAAAAATGTAAAAAAGATTTTAACTTAATGAGTTTCTATTTGTGGGATAAGGCAGCCACTTAATTTCACAAATTGTAAAACTTGCAAGAAATGTGAAAAAAAGAATCTATGGCAGTAGGTAGATAATGGAGGAATTAAGGCTTTTTTGGGACACTCCTGCTTAGTTTGAAATTGTAGGGATAAATAAAAATAGGCAAAGGTGGGAAGGGAATACTTGTAATTAGCACTACATGTGACATTGTAGGCCTTGCTTCCTTTGTTAGAATTTTTTATTACAAATATGGCACCCAGTGACTTGTGCTTTTACTGCATAATGGAATACTGCTGCTATAAAGAAGATGAATTTGAGACATTTGTAGGACTATGGATACAACTTGGAAAAGTGTTAATTAAAATAAATCAGACTAAGTTTCAATACCATATGGTTTCTCTCATGAAAAATCCAAAGAATAAAGATCAAAATAAAAGATGAAATAGGGAGACAGATCTTTTGCAAATAGAAAAGGGGCAGAGACAAGAAAGAAAATGGGGAGGAAAGGGGTACATAAAAAGAATTAAGATATATCATTGGTGTAAACCCCCCCCAAAAAAAAGGCCCCCCAAGATGAAAAACGGGACAAAACAACGTTGTTTTAAAAAGAAGCGCTTTTATTTTAGCTGGCCCAGCAACACAGGGCAGATGGAATTTGCAAAGCTGTGCAACTGAGTTAGAATTTTGACTAATTTTTATAGTTTATTTATGATTAGCTCATTGATTATTAACTATATAGCAATGAGAAACAGAAACTTTGTTCCCCTTTGCTTGAGGTCAGAGGCATTTCACGGTAGGTAGTTAGCCAATTCATAGCCTTCGGTCTGCCAGTTCCAGGAACGTTTGTCTCTCATAAA